CAGAGACGTTGTTCCCCACTTCTCTTTCCTCCAACTGAGGCTGCAAAGGAAGAAGGCAAAGAGGTGAGTCTGCAGCATGGAAGGCGAGGACCTGGAATGTGGAAGGTGCCTTGAGCATCCCTGGGAGGAAAAAGGTGGTGTCCTCTCCTGTGTCAAGTGCTGCACAAAAGGAAGAACGAGTGACATGACTGTAACTAAGACCCTCCTTCTAGATGAGGAAGCTGACAACAGAGCAAGAAGGTGGGCAGCAAGCAGGAGGTAAGTGTTGCACTGTTTCAGAAAAAGGACTAGAAAAGGATGAGGGTGAAGGCAATGCCTGAACCAGTTGTTTAAGGGTAAAAGAGCCTGCCACAAAAAGCAGAGAAGCAGCAGCATTAGAAAAGGCAGCTGCAGCTTGTGTTGTGTAAGGAAATGCAGAGGGACAGGGCCTTTTCAAAAACAGTAGGTCAAGAGTGAGTTGTTCAGTCACTTGCCATTTGTGATGTGCTCCAAACACTTCCTTAGATAATAGTTTTCCAACCTTCCAAATGCTAAAAAGCTAATAATATTTTTAAGGACTAACCAACCAAGCAGTGAACAGTATCAGACTGCTCGAAGATAAGCACATGATAACTGTAAATGACAAAGCAAAAGGGAATACCATGAGAACAGATCATAATTATGACAGTGATTATCACATGTGATGTCTTGGCACAATGCAAAGCAGTTTTTCTATTTATCCTTTAAAACCTTCTGTTTCCTGATGTGTTTTTTTGTTTTCTTTTTGTTTGTTTTTTGGTTTTTTTTTCTCATGTCATCTAAAATTCCTTCATCCGCTTCGTGCCAGGGATGACCCTTGCTGACTGAGGTCATCCCGTAGGTTTGCTCCCAGAAAAACCCACTCCTTCTCCTCAGTGCAGAAAATAGTTTGACTGATGTTTTTCTGAAGTTAAAAGTTAATTTTTTTTATATACACAGACCACTCCACAGCAGTACTACAGGTGATTAAAAGAAATCAGCAGCTACTCAGCAACTCCAAGGATGCTCTTGAGTGGTATTCCACAAATGGGGATATACAGACCTGACACAACAGCAGTGTCCATGCCACGAAATAGATAGGGTGTTTCCTGGAAAATCCTTAGAAAATCCTTCTAAACAATGTTTGAGCCATCAGAAAGATACAGCTAATGCTAAAGATTATGATTTGTTCTCAAGTTCTTAGATTTGCATGTTGCTGTAGCAAAGCCTAATATTTTGAATTCCTGAAAACACAAAGCTTTTTCCAGCAGAAGATGCATAATGCATGAAGTCTAAGAATGATAATTAGTGCTCCTCAGATTTGCACACCGTGCAAAGATCTTTCATTAGATCTATATGATATGCTTGATCTAGGTGCTATATCATGGAGACAAGGCCAGGCATCGCTGGTATCAATGGGACTACAAATCAAGAGTGTTTGTGTTTAGATCATCAAATGAGAGGTTAAAAGGTGGTCTGCAAAATTAAGAGAGAGGCAAATACATTTACCAGTATTAGAACAGGAAGTGCAGAGAGCTAAAGAATACCTTTCTGACTGAATATAAGTGAACTGCCACCTGACTCATGAAATAAATCAAAATATCCCCTTCCACTTTTGATCAAACACTTCATCCAAATGATATGATGATACCAGTGGAAATTATTTCCTATGTTCCTATGTACCCCTCAGAACGAGCTCCAGTGATCCATCCCCTATGAGCTAGTGTTAGCAGCATGCTGCCATCAACACCCAGAGTAGGTGCAGAGCAGAAAGCAGTAGAATTCCCAGGAGAAGAACTGGCAGGGAAAGAAAATCTCATTTTCAGCTTTCCATTTACAGCCTAAAATAGCCAGTCTGCTGGGAGCAGTAGTTCTTAGCAAAAACAGTGATTATGAGGACTGTGGTCTTATTTACTTTCTGCCAGTGTTGCAGCACGCACCGTATACTCACAGGATATTTTTAGTCATGGATTCTGCCAGGCAGAAACACAGAGGAGTTGATCATGTGTAACAGATTAAACAACAGACAAAAAAGCTAGCAGGACTGGGGGGCTGCAGCAGCAGAATATCTTTCTTACCCTCTCTAGCCCAGGTTCCCAAATGCATACGGTCTGGGGGATTCTGGGCAGGATAAAGGCAAAGGTTAGTGGTAAGTTTTGAGCTGGGTCAAGCATTCTACAGAGGCTGGCTGAGACCTGTCTGCATTCAGATTGTTGTCAGTTAAAGCTCTTGTAGATGTAAATTGTTGAAGTTGACATATTAGCGGTATAGAGCTGTAGGCCTGAAGTGGACTCCTTCCTATCTGCCATCCCTGTGAAAGGCAGCACTGCCTGCTCAGGAATTAGGAATTAAATATGGAATCAGGAAGTCAAGGAGTTAAGGAGATCTACTGTTGGCTGTACACCCATCGTGTCACTGGCATAAGCAGGATGCTCAGAGCCACCTCTGTCTGGAGCAGGAAGTACCTGTGCCAGGCTGTGGCTAGGCCTTGGGAGAGGGATGCCCAAAGTCTTCTTCCTAGGGGGAAGTAAATCACTGCTCTCTTAATTACTGTGAAGGAATGAAGATGGGCTGGAGAAGATGCAGTTTATTCAGGTCTCCCCAACTCACAGGCTGAAGGAAAGCACCAAGTTTATAACCAATTCTGAGTGTTTTCTGGAAGGGCAAATATTTTCCCTTCTAATGGGAAGATGCAAAGAGGATTATGACAGCAATATCCTTCCTCAGGCAGGTTTATTTTCGGGCAAGAGAAGCCTTTCATAATAAGTAACTGCTCTTTGTTATGAACCAGCCTGTGTCGGTGACCACAGGACTTCAGGGACACAAAATAGATGCTATCTGCCCAAAACTCACAGTCAGTGACTATCATTTTGATTTCTTTACTAGGTAAGAGCAAGAAAATGGCTTTTAAATTAGATGTTGAACCCCTTCCAGAATTGCAATATAAGACACCGAATCAATCATTCTTCTTACAGTTACCTCCTACTCCACAAGCTCCTACTACCATAAAAATTGGTCACTGTAAACTGAGCTGAGTGAATAATTTCCAGTTTCAGATTTGTTTGAGAATATTTTCCTCTTCCTCTGTTCATTATTTGTCTGTTAGCAGATTGATTTTCCTGAATTTATGTTTTTGGAAAACTTGTGCTGTAACCGTTCTGCAAGTAATTCCCTCCATAAATCATGTGTGAGTGATTTGCTGAGGAGTGTTCAAACATTTGTCCTAATTCTGCTCAGCCTCCATGAACTTGCATCTCATGGTATCTGCTCCTCAGCTCCATGGCCACATCAAAGAGCCGGGTTTCCACTGCCTGTTCTCCTTGGGAAAATTCTCACTTTCAAAGCCCCTCCCTAGAAATCTTGCACAGAAAGCAGGAATTACAGAAAATCATGTCAGTCTTAGGCAGACATGTTCACTGAGAGGCTCACAGTTTATCAGCATCTGTGATTTTCACATCAGCTAGCTGATAGCTTTTCTAGCCATGAAGAGAACATCATTTGCACGCTTCGCAACTGGGAGCTGCTCCTAGCCAGAGCTTTTGAAAAGCATCATCCCAATTTGTCTCACAAATTGTCTATGCGAGACAAGGCCTTCAATGGCACATAGAGTGGTTGGGCTCCAAATAACGACTGAAAGTATGCAACATGTCACCACTGAAAAATTATTCATTAGTTCTCCAGAAATAATTAGAGGATTCTTGTGGTTGTTGTTGCATCTTCATGAGAAACAACTCTATCAAAGCACGGGCAGAGGTGTCTGATCCAGACCCTACTGAAGCCAGTGGAAAGTCCTCATTTTGAAATTATCTGCCCCTGAACAGAGGGAGGAAACTGCCCTTCTCAGCTTGAAAAATAGCATCTTTTCAGATAAAAGTTTAAAAGAGGGATTTGAGTATTTACCATGTGTCCTCTTACAAAGAAAGTACTGGAATGCATATGCAATATTGAAAAGTAGGTAAAAGTCAACCCCAGCCCGGCATGCCACCATTAACCACAGTGAGAATTTCAAACCCCAGGCTGGCAACTTGCCTCAAATATTTCCTTTGAAAACGTTTGTAGAATATGGACCTCGGCTCTTGTTGGTATGCAGCAAAAACACTGTGCTGGTATTTTAGATAATGTAAACAGTTGCTGCAACTGTCACCCAGGCACTTCATGATTGTTCATAGGAGAAGTGGAAATTAACAACTCGTGAAATCTTGATGGCGTCTGCATTTGTGCCTAGGACATGTGTGGGCATCTCTTCCCAGGTCCTTTGCAAAAGGTACACTTTATGAAAATCTTGAAAAATAATTATTAAAAAAACAATCTGTATAGAGTGACTGAGGAATGCAAGTCAAAAACCAATTAACATTTTTTCCAGATACGAATTTTCCAAAAGGAGATTATGTTTTCCTTCCAAATCAGCTTCTTCTGAAATTATATTCGAATTCATCAGTATAACAAGGACTTAGTGCACCTTATCAGTGTTCCTGAGCTGTATCTTCTGAGACGGACTGAAATGTTAATTCTTGGTGCTGATAAGTGACTTGGGATTCATTAATTCTGGACCATTCGGTCAGCTGCAGGAAGAAGCTTTTTGTTCCACACAGAGGAGACTAGGCCACTCTTAGGTTGCTTCCCTGTGTGCTGAAGTTGCATTTTATTTCATAAGCATCAACAGGTACATCAGCGTTTCTGTCAAGTCAGTACTATACCCAGAGTAGTGTTGTGTTGCTGCCCATCACGGTCTGTATTTTCTGCTCAGAATGGGTAATGCTTCATGTCTGTGTTCTGATGACACCATTTTAGAAATTGGGCACAGAAATTCTTGTGTCACTTTGACAAGCACAGTATTCCTTTTGCTGCCGAAAGTGAATCTCAAATACAGTATTTTGATTTATTTTTACATGCGATTTATGCTGAATCAAGTAAAAGATGACTAGCTTGGAGTTGCATCAGATTTCTTTGCACATTTCACCACTAGCTGTTTCCCCCTCCTCCCCTCCCACCCCCCCCCAGTGCCTACATTATGCAACTTCACATTTGGTAATCTGATCCTAATGAATTTTAGGGCAAAGAAGTCATCACATGCTGGCATGTGTTTTTAAAAAGCTTCATAGGAAATAGTTTCTTTTCATGCATTCTTTTACCTGTAATTATTATACAGATGCATCATGTTATACGTGAGAGGAAAAAAATTGCCCTACTGCATAGTCGACTCCATTTATATCACTGAAAGAGCAGCAATCCAAAGCATAAGTAACCTGAGCTCCATGTGCATTGCCACCCAAGCGAGCAGGACACACGGTGATGCCAAAATGCCGGTGCTGGGTGCAGGTCTGTGTAGCTCCATCCTCAGGGATTGCCTCCACTGGAGCAAAGCGTGTCGTTAAACCCTGCTGTGCTGTGCTCTGCTTCACTGGGCGGCTGTGGGAAATACTATAAAATAGAGCACACTGTGCACCATGCACCTCATTCTACAGAGCAGGTATAGACTCTGTGATTACACCACAATGCCTGGCACATATCATGTAAATACGCAGCAATTGCATGTTCCTACAGCTTACTTGTTAATTACGCTTTGTTACCAACAAGTTCAAAGATAAATGATCATAGCACATGCAGCACTTAGATGCTTGCAAACCTCTTAAGCTACGAATTTGTACTATTAAGTGCCACTTTTGTTGCTCTTCCATTGGGAAGGGAAGCACGGCGCTCTCCCAGCTGAAGGCCAGCAGTTGCAGCACACAGCTCTTACTGGTGCAGAAGAGGTATGCTCAAGCACTTCAACCAAGGAGGAAATCTGGATGAATTAACAAAATAACTTCCATTAACAAATCACTTTGCAAATTCCATTTAGTAATCCTCCTAAGCAAATGCTGTGTTTAAAATCACTGGCACTTGCATGCAATAGAACTAACAGTTTTCCTGACCCAATATTTAATTTTGCACAAGCTAAAAATGAGAGGAAAACCTCATTCCACTGATGTCACTGGCAAAACTCCTATTGATTTCAGTGAGGCAGGGTTCTACCCAGGCAGCTTACTTGTAAATGGGTTCTTGAAATAGCTTATATTATATTCTGGCAGAAATAGATCACCATGTAAGGCCGCTTCACAGCCCGTGCTGGCTCTTCTGTGAGCCGCACTGCAGTATTTTAGACTACAACATACAACTTTTAATAGCTACCTCAGTAGCATTGTACAAAATACAATAATTCTCTATAAACATTGCTTTTCTCCAAAGTGAAGCTTCCCTGTAAGATATGATTCTGTAACGGTTTGGGGTCAGCTGTATATAAGCACCCACACTGGATTATCTTGCTTTTTTTTTTTTTTAATTGTTTGTTTGTTTGTTTGTTTGTTTTTTCCTTCTGTTTTTCCTATTTCCATATTGATTTTCAATCTGAAAGGTGATGTCGATGTGTTTAAGTAAGGTCAGGAGGCAGCTTCATAGCTGATGTGAGCGTGAGCTCTCAGGCTGGAGGTAGCGCCAGTGGCTATCAGGAAAAGAGGGAGCTGGAGGAGGCTGGTCTTGCTGGAAAAGCGAAGAACTGGAATTTGTTCAGGTGACAGGGGAGCACAAACTAAAAGAAGGTTGAAGAGAGTAGCAAGAAGGTATGCCAGGACGCAAGTTGAGGTTTTAGTTGGAACGGAAGACTGTCTAGGAATGGTGAGTGAATTTACATTTGTGTTGAAGGCTCCTTAAAGATGAAGGGTCAAGGAAGCAGGGAGAGAGACCAGGAGGAGGCAGGGAGGCGGAGGAAGCAAAAGGGTGATGATGTTCAGCCTGTTTTGAAAGAGCAACTAGGCAGGAGAGAGCCTAGCATGCCAAAATGAGATTGCATTTCAGCAGGAAGAGAACAGCTGGCAACGTGCGAGGCAGATTTTGAGGTTAAAGACAAGAGCAAGGAAAGGGAAAAGAAGGTTTATAGAAGCCAAACAGGAACAGAGTGGGATTAGATCACTGCAGCAACATATAACATTCCAGAGAGCTTTGTTATCTGCTGTGCTCTTTAGTTGCAAGTGCAAGATGGTCAATCATTTCTAAAACAAAATACATTCAAATTGCAGTTCCTTGATTCTACATTAGAAAATAACTTCTTATGCAGAAGGACTGTTATTTTGAATGGATTCAATTTTATCTAACCTGTACTGACTTTAAATAAAAGAGAGGTACACATCTCCAGTGCTGGAGATCCAGCGGTGTAACGGAGGCTTGCTGGCCCCGTGGCTGAAAACAACAGGTCCTTTAAAGGCAGTGTCCTTGTTCTGATCGATTTACTTTGCTGTCCTTCCCCAGCTTTCACTCCCTCCTCAACCCTACTCTGGAGCCTGAAGAAATGTTTGCAGGTTTTCCTACATAATAGGCATATTTCTAATACAAACTGAAGGCCAAGCTCTTTTTTAATTCCTAGGGACTAATTTTGTTCCTCCTGAAATCTACAGCACAGTTCCTGCTGCCTGCAGTGGTACCAGGTGTGGTTCGACCGGCCCACAGGCGACCTTGGAATTCTAATGAAAAAAGCCTAAGTATACTGAGTGGGGAAAACACTCATTAATAAATATCTTAGGAGAACGTGGTTACCTCGAAAAAGGCTAATTATTTTGATAGTTACTCGTTCAAAAAGAAAAAAAGAAAAGTCTACTCAACGAGAGGAGAAATTAAAAATTAGGAATCTCACAAAAACAGACAGCAGAATATTGCATTCAAGAGGACAGCCACCAATTAAGAGAAATGTCAACAATTCAAGTGGCAACAACTTCAAAAGGGAAATCTTTTCCTCATTTTCATATGCATTCTTCATAAACAACATCAAGAAGTGTAACATGCTAATAGCTAATAACACTCAGAATAAGATTCACTAATTTACTAACTGAATAATTTAATGCATATCAAAGGAATGATTTTCTCATTTCATTCTTTTTTTAGATCTAACGCTAAGCTGGGTATTATCAAGTAGATGAAGCTGCACAGATTACAAGTCATCACTGAAATAGTCATTTTAGAGTTGAGTTTGTTTTTTTCCATTGGATGTATCCTTTAAGGAATCATATTCCTTTTTTTCTTATTCCTACAATGGATAGCAATAAGTAAATAAATAAATAAAAGAGCAGAAAAGAAAAATCAGCTGTGCTGAACTAAGGCAGGGAGATGGGATGTGGTGAGCAGTGTGCCCCACGGTCCCTTGGCTGGGGGGCCCACGGTCCTGGCACGATGGCTCACACACGTGCTCGGCCCCAGGTGCACAGGGATAGGTTTGATTTGTGCCGCAATGGAAGGTGCTCACCCCAGCACCACACACCATGGAATGAGGGCGGCAGGCTGGAACCATTGGCTTTGTGGCAGGTGGAGCAACTTTTGCAACTGGGAAAAAAAACCAACACTCTCGTGCTGCCAAAATATGAACAAGGTGCTTCCTCAGAAATATTCTGCCACGGCCGTTGGTAGATATCAATTCCTCATGTACACAGGACTTCCTCCAAGGAAAATGGCATAATTTCAGCAGGCTTTCTGATGAGAAAACCTCTCTGCACTGTTTTTTTTTTTTAACTCCTGCAAAGTCTTTCACTTCGAGTCATGAGCTTTCAGCGCAGCAACATCTCATGGCTGCGACCTGCGGTGACTGCGATCAGGCAGCAGTAAGCAGAGCTGCTTTGGGGTCCCCGGTGTGGCTGTGCCCAGTCAGGTGGCAGGCTTGGCAGCAACGGCACGGTGTGAAATCAAACAGGGAATGGGTTCTTTTGTGTTTTGCTTTGTTTTTTGCATAATATACCTCCCTTTGTGAATGCCCGGGTTCCTTACCTTGGGAGAAAAACAAGAATTTCCCTATCTTCTTTTATACCACCCATTATTTTGCATATCTTTAGGTCTTTCATTAATTTCCTTTTAAAAACAAACTCTCCTACTCCTTTCAGATTCGTATGTAACATCAAAGCATTTCAGTGAATTTTTCATTCCATTTATATGCCAGCTCTCTGGTGATGGAGTCAGACATGTTGTGGTAGTCCTGCAGGCAGCAAAGATGCCCAGCTTCTCTACCACTGCTGAAGTTCTCCTTGCTGTAAGCACCGATTAACTCGGAACAGCCCCTCAAATAGCAAAAAACCGTCCTGTGATAACCCTGCTGCCTTGAAGAGGGCAATGGGACCAGCGTGCTTTATCCTTAAAGGTAAAAAGACAGCTGTGGTCTGTGTGCTAAAAGGAACTGAGATTTATTTTTAACTTCCTTTTTTTTCCTGAGCATTGTGAAGAAGCTGAATCATTCTATTTTTGTTTAGGAGGAGACTATAAGGGAGAGAAATAATCTGATATATTTTAGAGACACTTCCAAAGAACAGAGGCTGTCATGGTGCAGTGACCCATGCCAAAGGAAACCTTATTTTCTCCAGTAATGTCACTTGGGCTCAGTTCTCCACCAAATATATTTTCAAGAATTTTTGTACTAAACTGAGAGTTCAGTATAACGCTTCTGAGAATTCAGATCAGTCTCCCTTTGTCAGTGCTGAGTTTAGGAAGTCGTGAAGGCAGTCTGCATCATAGTGGTACTATGACTGCTCTGAAACAGAACCATATCATATATCTGTTTTCATTCTTCTGCTTGAGACATACCTTCAGAAAGGCAGTTTCTGATGACATGTTTGGGCAAATGATGCCTTATCTGCATGCTTTTTTAATGTATCATCCTGATCTGGTAACTTGAATGCCATAACAAGAAAGCTATGTTAATTGTACATGTTTATAAGTTAGTGCAGTCCAAAACACATGCCTTAAACTATCTGCCTCAGAAAGTCTGCAGATTGTTTGAGAAGTCAGAGATGTTCCCTCTCTGCGAGGGGAATCACAGAACTTTTCAGACCAAAAATCTTCAAACACAGTAATTTTAGCCTCATGGATATTTTATATTTCTCCTGCCTAAAAATAAAAACCACTAAGTATATGAACTGCTGCTGTAAATAAAAGCACGAGTAACAGAGTTCTACTGTTGCCGAGCTCCTCCTCCCACTTGATCTCAGCAGTCAGCAAGAACACTTATTCAGTATTAAGTTACAGTAAAGAATTGTTGACTGTGGTATAATTGAGAGCAAAGATAAAGTCAAGTCAGTGAGTTTGCTTCAGCTTGCAACATTTCAAAGAAAGCCTCTAAATTTGTTTAGATCTTAAAAATGAAATCTTATAGGACATACTTGTTAACAGTAAAAATGCTTCTCCATTAAGTAATTCGTATTGAAATGCACAAAGTTAGTGTTATTTGCTTCTAAGTTAGATTTCATTCTAAATAGTGTATGTTAAAAACTTTGACTACTTCATGCCAAATGCTTTACACATTTCTCTTTAATTAAATTCTGCCAGAGAACCATGTTACATAAGCCAATACAAAAAGCACTCTCAGAGAGCGTGGGTAGAGTCCAGGTGCCCTTGCACTGACTAGTGAAATTCCTACAGAACTCATTGGAGGCAGGATTTTACTGTTCATTCTGTACACTTTTTATACATAGGCATTTAAAATCACTTTGTTATTTAGTACACAAGATCTTCAGTACATTATTTTTAAAAACTTTTATTTTAATGAGCTCCGGGCTGTCATTTCTCACTTTTGTTACTAGATGAGTCTTCCTTCAGATTTCAAACACGTCTAGTTTCAAGTATGTTTGTAATTGCCAGAGTACATAACAGATGCCAGTTTAGATAAGCTTCCAGTCTGTGGATGGAGGTAGGCATTTGCTCTCATAATCTGCAGCTTTACTGCAGAATTTGAGAATTGCCTGTAAAGAGTTCTGGGAGTATTGTGTGCCATTAGCACTTAGGGATTCCTTAACTGCACAGTAATACGTTCAGCAGTAAGGCACAGGTGGTGAGGACAAAGAAGTGGCATAAAAATAAAAACAAATAAATAAATTTTAAAAAGGGTAATCTTTAAGATTGCTAGAATAATACCTAAGCAAAACAATTAAACTGTGAAGTATTTTTCAGCTGTGTGAGATGAAACGAAGTGAGCAGCACTTGCACTAATGCCATCATTCTTAGGCACACCCAGCTCTGTGCTGCAGTTCCCTTCCTGCAGGCAGCGCAGCCCTCAGGGGAGCATGCTGCCTGGTGCTGGACACTCACTGTGGTGGATGTGTCACGTCACACTGGTGCCAGATTTCAGCTCCACGTGCAGCTCTGACGCTTGTTCACAACAGTGTAAGAACAACAATCAGCTTGTGGGAGGATGCTCTGCAGACATGCTGTGGGGTTTGGTGTTTTGGTACAAAGGGAACAGGAGGAGGATGGCTGTCCTGGGACAGCCCTGCTTGGACACACGGCCGCGGTGGGTGAGCCGCAGCCCTGCAGCTCCTCGAGATGCTGCTGGCGTATGGCTGGGGAATGGGGGAGGCTGTCTGAGCATTGCTCATCTACCTCCATTCAAAGTTACTCTGCTGATATTTTTTTCAAAGTTGCTAAGCTGTTACCTGGTTACCATAGCCTGGTAACCACGCAGGCAGATACGGGCTTTTTCTCCCCAGCAGGTAAGCGGGTGACCCTCACTGAGTCAGTCAGCCCAATGGCACCAAAACCACTCAGCTGCAGGCCAGGATGAGGCTCTGGGAGAAATGTATTTGAAGTGTTCAGAGGAACGCTGGGTATGAGATATGATTAGTTCTGACAATGCTTATTCAATTTAAAATATGCTTAACCGGTTTAAAAATAAAACCACAGACTCATTTTGACTGCAGCCCAGTCCTGAAGCTATTTCAGCATGCGCTGCCCATCCCAGACCTTATATTCTGATCTGGCTGTAACGTGGCTATTAATAGAGCAGAAGTTGGGGGTGCAATTGGCGAGGTGGGCAAGCAGCTCAGCAGCCACGTGCTGGTGGGTCGGCCTGGCCTGGACCACCATCCTGTCCACACTGCTACCAAGCCCACTTGCCTCTGTGCCAGGAGAGCAGCACATCAAAGGTACCCACAGCCCTGAACTGCTGCAGGACTTTAAGAGGCATGCTCCTGTGCTGTATTATGCAGGAGGGGATCAAAAGTCAGTCTATATGCAGAGAGTATCTGGAGAACCAAACTGGATTCTTCTGGAAACCACAAATCTCTCATTACTGAGAACTATGTAATATTTACTTTTTTTTTTTTTTTCCCCTCCATACAAATTTGCACAAGTTTCTTAAGTGGGGTTTTCCAGGGACAAACTTTATAGGTTAGCTCTTCATTTCTTGCATTCTTCATAAATATTCAATTCAATACATTTCTATTGTTTTTCTGACTTACATTAAAGTTGAGGAGATCACAGGTTAAACATTGTGAAACAGCATTAAAGGGATAAATGAAGAGAAAATAATCTGTGTAAATCAATATTCCTTCTGTCAGGCAGAAGAGCTACAGCACAAATATCTCAGACCCTTCTAAAAAAATTAAATCATTAATTTTAAAATGTGGGTGTACATTTAAATGTTACCTCTTGCCAGACCAGCACTTACCTGATACCTGCTCAGCTCTGCTGCTCTGTATAGGCTGTGGGGTCTGCAGGAGCACACTGGCAGATCTGTGAGCATTTCCTGAAACAGAAAAGGCAGGAATGGTTTTGTCTTCTATCTATTTGGGTTCAAACATCATTGATGTAGTAAAAAGGGAAAACAAATGGAAAAAAAAAAACAACACCCAAGAAAAAGCCAACAATCACTGAGTACCAATGTGCAAGGCTCTCATTTCCAAAGACACCATGGTCGCACAGCCTTACAGAGAAAGGAGAGGAACCCAATAACCTTCCAACAGCACTACCTGAGCAGGCCAGACAGATCATTTGCATGGCAAGCAGAACTCCCAGGTCAAAGGACTGAAAAATAGGTATCTTAAAAATCACTTGCAAAATTCATTCCCAGTGCCAATTTTGTTCTGTGACCAGACACCTTATCCACACAACCAACGGTCTCTTTTAAAGCAGTTTCAGGGCTCATTCACACAAACAGGTGCTCGTGCAACTGCAGGTATAAACTCCCTGGCTCTGGGTGCATCGTGTACCCAAGCAGTGTGCCTGGCCACTGAGCACAGCCTGCTCCTCGCTCCCTGCTGTGCTGCAATCTCACATAAACTGAGGGTAGATTAGAGAAACCTAATACGCTCTAGGACTGTAAAGGGATTAATCTCACATAAATCTTCACCAAAAAAAAATCAACATTAGTTGATTTATTTACATGCATTTTATTTTCCAATGAGAAAACAAACCTCCTTTTCTCTTGGAACAGTAAAAGTCTTTTCAAAATTTTAATGGCTTTGGTTTTGCATTTAAAATCCCCAGCACTACAGTTAACCTATATTCTTGAGCTCAAATAAAAAGCTAAAAGCACGTATTTTAGAGGAGGGCTTAGCAAGCTTTTCCATTTCATTACTGGATATCTATTACAGGGGCAAGATGCGTACTTTCATCTCACTGACACACTGTTTTACGTATAAACATCTTGACCAGCACCGTGCTGTCAGTGGTTAGCAGATTCAGTGTGTTTTGGCTGAATTTCTGAAGGGGAAAACTGCGACTTGCACTCTAAATATTTTTTCTGGAAAATGGCTTCCTCAACAGACTGTGGGCATCTTGGAGGGAATTCCAGCAAACATTCCATCAAGAGCAGCGTGCTGCTGGCGGGTGCCGACATGCCAGCCTTGGGAACTGAAATTGGGCACCCGTGGGTCCCACAGAGCTGTGGGCAGAAATTATGCCAATGTTGTTGGCGCTGCTGACTGAGGCTCGTTTGAGATCCAATCTGATTTACGGTAAGACATTCTACATTGGGGAAGTCTTGAGGATTTTAGTTAATATTTGTTACTAGCAGATTTTATTAATATTTGTAGAGTTTTACTTAACATGTCAGCAATCGTTAATTGCTCTTCTTTCCTGTCTTTCTGGAGTGCTGCAGAACACCTGTGGACAGGGAAGAGGCTGGGTGAGGAGCACGAGACCAAGAGTTTGGAACCTGGATGGCGCTGAAGGCCACTGTGAATGTTAATTATGTCACTTCATACTTTTATAGTGCTCCTTGTGCTTAAAGCACCACACAGACTGCTAGTCATTAGTGATCTGATGGTTCTGAAATGATCAGCAGTGTCATTTAGGCTGTCATTAGGACACAATTAGCAGCCCTCTGATCGGTGCACAGCCCAGAGCAGGCTAATGGGGCTGCAGGGCAGCGAGGGGACACTGCTGCCTCTCCTCACCCTGTGCCCGCTGCAGCCCTGCATGGAGCTGGACTGAGGGCAGGGCACAAAGCACCCCTTGTGTCCTGCCCATCATGCCAGAACTTGGGGATTTCTGAGAGCTATAAGGAATGTGCCTGCAGAACTGACCATCCACTGCTCCACCACTCTGTGTTTCAAAACAGGTGGGTTTTTTTGTTTTGTTTTGTTTTTTTTGCTTGATTTATAGAGAACTTGGCTTTTTGCAGCAGCAGAAGATACAGTGGCAAGGGTCTCAGGGGTGACATTCTGGAATCTAAGGGCACCACATTTGGGTAAGATGAAGAATTAAGTTACTCTAGCAGTCTGAAAACCAAGGTCTGGCTTGGACGGTGTTCCTGAACCTAGCATTCTTACTCCACGCTTAGGTAGTGAACTCTTTCACTCACGTGCTTTAGATACTTGTGTTAATAGCATAAATGTCAACAGAAACGACATGCTTTTAAAATATTAGAGTTGCTCTTCTGAAATGGTCCAAGCATATATTTTTAGCTTCTACAATCTCTTCAGATTACACCACTTGCAAAGGTATCGTATTTCTTGTCACATCTAGCTATAGTAACGTGTCAGTAGCTGTACTACTGCTGATTCCTCTGCATAAAGCACTGTAGAATATACTTCAAATACTGGCTTTTTGTGTGTCTCACACAAGTAGTCATTAATACCAAGGGAACAGCATGCTACTGTTCCAGGTTTTCTAAGAACTAATGCTATCGCTCTCCACCAGCTCCTGTTGCTGGATCCACAATGCCTTTATTATTTATGTTTTTACTCTTGAAAATTCAAATTTAGATCTGAAAATTTTCATGCTTTTGTTTTTTCAAAATAATTAAAGCAGGCAAATGGACCTGATGTAATCTGCATAGTGTGCACCATGGCAGTGAAAGCACTGCTTGTTCTCTGAAAGGAGTAATTCTTCCAACTGGCGTCCCATGGCCCCTCCCCGTGCGGCCGCCTTTCCCATACACTCAGGGGACTTGCTGCCAGTCATTGGCTTGCCCCGGAGGTTTGCTACAGTAATATTATGGTTTGCTGGATGTCTGTGCCCGGCAGGTTTGTCTCTAAGCATAATTTAGTGTTTTGCAGTTCTGCTGGTGTGGCGATTGCTTTGCCGAAGCACCATCCTCTCCCTGGGCGCTCGGGGTACACATTGCTCCATCTGCACACGGCCTTCACAGCAGGCTTGCAGGGATCTTTTCTCCTCCTCTGCCATCCCCATAGTAAGTGGCATGTTTTCAGATATGTTCCATCCACAAAGGATTTGAATGTTGGCCTAGCATATTTTACTGGTACTTGAATGGCTTAAAGAAAGTATTTGGAAAGTGGCAGATGCCTTTGGAAAAGACTGGAAGAGAAAAAAATACACTAGATGGGGATGTTAGCAGGTCAGCTGGCCCAGGAAAACAGAAAAAAAGTGCAGTGCAGAAGTGGTTGCCAGCAAGCAGCCGTGTAATGCCCACCTCGGCAGCCACCAAGCTCCTCCTGGCCCCTCTGCTGTGACACACTCAGCCTCTCTGCCTCAGTATTCATTCTGTACAAGAACTGTGAACTGCTGTACAGATCATTCAGGCAAAACAGACTTCCCAAACCTGCTTTTTTTCAAACACATAAAATAGGTATTGTCTGAGGAGGAACAAGCACCAGGTAGTACAACACGTGATGTAGGTGGGGCTTTTTCATCACCACAGCAGTGCTCCAGGCGCGCGGGCAGCAGCTGGCACCAAACTGCTAGCATGGCTGCTGGGCACCACCACAACACAGGGAGATAATCGTGCTGCTTCTGTCACAGGAGCAACAGACCTGCAAAATGAAGACGCCAAGTGGAATTCCCAAGTGATAAGGAATCATTCCACCACTGGTACCATTGGTGGGCCACTGCACAGTGTAGGTAGGCCATCAGGATGCACTTCTTCATAGGAATGTTCCACGGGACACATGTGGAAAACACACTGAGTGCACAACAGCTTGGGAAAACTTAGCAGTTTGGGAGGAATTAACAAAGAGACAACAGTGTTCGTCTTGACAGTAAAGGAAGAGGTATGAAATAAAACAGCTTACCACAACATGGCTTCTGACTAAGAGTGAAAAATGTAATGAGGAAGAATGTACTTCGGATAAACATACATTCTGTTAAGGTAAGTGAAAAAGCATGTGCCAGTAGGAGGGAAAAAAACACGCCTTCTTCCTGTACAGTCACCACCAGCAACCATTTACATGAAGCAAGTGAGGAGAGCAGACTTCCTCAGCACCAGAACAGAACAGTGTCTCGGATAGGCAGAGAGGTCTAGGCAGAGAGGACATACAATTCATTGACAGGGTCAATGAAAGTTGACAGCAGTCAACACTAAGGGTCTATTTGGCCAGCTGGGAAGGAAGAAAGAAAAACAAGAAGTCAGTAAACGGTCATTTACTGTGCATCTCTTAAAGTCCTCGTAGCAGTTGTCAGTCTTACACTAAGAGACAGAGAACTTGAGAAAGGCAGAAAGTCAACGTGGTTACTGAAAAGCAAGTGATGATGATGCAAAATTAGTTGATGCAGTTCATAGCTGTCAGTGAGAATGTGCAGAAGAATATTCTCCTCCTGAGCACCAGCTCTCCTGCGCAAATTCAATGCTGCACCAAACCAGACTGGATACGGACACAGCCACCAGAAAAAGCTGATACCAGTGAAAAGGTGCAAGGCATATTCACTGGCCACTAGTGTCACCAGCTCCTCACCAGTTTAAATTCACTTGGAAGCTGAATTTCAAATTAAGTTGAAATACTGGAATTTGATTGTGGTCAGTAGAAACTAAAAATTTTGGGAAAGTGCTTTGCAAAGATAAAGTTTTATAAATGAAACTATGAGAATTGATATTACCCAACCTTTGCTGGAAGCATAACATTCCTTCCTGTAGACTAAGGGAATATTGAACTGTTTTAGCATTAAATGTGTTTAAGCTGAACAATCACCTATAGGTTTCTCAAATCACATCTTGCAGAAAGCTGAAAATGTAAGAAGTTCCAGAAATAGCCTGAAAATCATCTAAGAGCTGATGCTGATGGAGAGACTGATGAGCATTTCAATGACTCAGGTGCCTCCCATATGCACAACTTTTTGTCCTAAGAAGAAAACGTTCCACCGTTAGCTATCTTAGACATTTGAAAAAAGTTACTGTTTGCTAAGCAAGATGGTCTTTGTAGATATTTTGAAAGCTTACAGGGATACCTGAAAACAGGAATTCTTTAGTTGTATAAATTGTATGATTTTATATAGTTTAATTGCACTGAGCTAAGAGACAGGAAAGGGACACTCACCTGGCAGAAACTGCTGTGGTACAAAGCTGGAGCCAGACTCCAGTGACTGACAATTTTTCTAACCAAAGTAATTTTCTACCTCAATTTTTCTCATTTTGGAAGTATTTTAGGGTAAGCGGTAGGCATGCCCCATAACTTAGGAAAAAAGGGAAAACAATGAAATAACTTAATAAACTCACATACTAAGGATGGAGGTGAGTCAACCTGGACAAGTGTCCCAGCAGAAGTGTTGTTGTTTTTACATAATCCACACGAAGAGTCTGCAAGCTTCTGTAAACAAAAATTTGAATAAGTACATATGCAAAAAATTTACCGCGAGAGAAGATAGGGTCCATTTTATCACTGCATACAATCTACCCCTACTACAGTCAGATTACAGGAAAGGGAAATAGGGCAGCTAACATCTCAGCCAACACAAGAATCTCAGCAGTTCCTGGATGCTTAATTCCAAATGTCTGTATTTCCATACAGAGATACTAGTAGAACAGACACATGTCCCCTTGTGCACTGAAGTGACAACGCGTGCGGGTGCCCTGCATCAGGACAAGCTGTGGCCCGCTCCCCATCCCAGCTGCAAGCAGACAGGACAGCTTTGCTACTGCAGCAGCAGTGAGGACTGTGAAGTTCTGTGGCAGGAGGAACTTGATGATGTGCGGCAGGGTGAGAGAGAAGGAGAAATAATAAGGGAAATCAGATAAAACCAGTATTTCTCACGGATATATGTATCAATTATCTCCAGGCACACGTACCCACCAAGGCTGCCCTGGATAGCCCATTCCACTGCCTACATCCACATGCATCTCACGGTGGGACCCGAGTTCGTTAGCAGACGAACAAAGACTGAAATGATAACATTCATCTCTATGTTCTTGCCCTGACATGGTTATTCATTAGTTCTTCCTAATGATTGTTCAGTTCCTTCCTTCTAGGGAGCCACTCCTAATTCTCTTCTATTCAGGTTGTTTAATGAGTCACTGACTTTAATAATAATTTTTATTAACCCTTCCCTTACACAGCTAGCAGACCGCCATGTGTTGTGCTGAGAAACAAGCTCCTCAGTGCCTTTCCTCTGTTACGCCATTTTCTTACATGCCGACTGACTCCTGCAGGCTTTCTGCTGCTGGTTGTTGAAAAAAATGCCTTGTTTGTCTTCATGCCTTCAGTTAATTGCTTTTTAAATCTTATTCTACCTGCTTTCCTGCATAATTTTGCTCTCCATGAATTATACTGCTTTTCTAACTGCCTTCTTGTCCAGCCAAATATTACTTAACAAAAAAATAGCTATTTGTGTCAAACGACTTCTTCAAGCACTGTGTTCCCATCCTGCTTTACCTGTCTCTTCTCTTTCTCCCAAGGAGGGAGGGTTGTGTCCAGTTTCACACAGTGAGCCTGCAGCACTCAGTAACGCTGTGCCCACCTTACTCCATGGGAAGCATCACAAAGTTACCACTTCAGGTGCTTTGTACTAGTATTCTTTTTTACAAAACAAGAGCAACAGAATGAACAAACGAAAAATAAACACCAAAGTAACCTTTAGAAATGTTTTATTTCTATGTGACTTGTCATTCCTAACAGTAATGAACATAAATATCCTGTGAAATAAGTGCTCAGATGTTGATTTGTCCTTCGATCAGTGACCAGTTGTTCCTCAAGAATAATTTGAGCATGGGCTACACTCTGTATGGCCAAAAAAAGATGAAAAAAGCATGTCTTAAATGCCTGTTTTAAAGAATGGAATAAAAAGGAATGAAAGAAAGGATTGGATTCTGAACAGTGTATTGAAGGAGTACATAACTGTCCCTTGGCTGTTTGCGATCAAACCTCGCACTTCACACAGCCGCAGCATCTATTATGCGGAGGCACGTCTGAGCAGCTGCTTTCTGTGCACCTCATGCATGGCGGCACTTGCTCTTTTGACCAAGTTCTGGGCAATTTTGGAGTAGATAGAACTGTTCTTTCTCCTATGTCTTCTGTCCTCATATTAGCAGTGCGGCCATGTATGCTTTTTAGAACATTCTGTGCTTTGTTACTTAGATGTTATTGTAACATGTGATGACTGCTATAGAAAACAAGTCCATGTGATTATTTACTTAGGGAACCACACTCAGACCATTACGAAAACGGATTTCTAGGAAGAAATGTATTTCCCATTGACTACTTCCACAGCCCTGTCAGTATCACTGCTCTCAGGTGGGGCATTCACTTTAGGTGCAAATCCAGCCTCGACAAAGTCTCGTAACTTTTTTTTTTGACTGATAAAACATCGGTGTGAACAGACAGCACAGACAGCTCGATGTGCTCTGAGCCTAGCGTTACTCCTTCAAGCACAGCTCTGGGCCTTTTTCAAACGGCTCCACGCAGCCACAGCGAGGTTACCCCGCAGCCGGCCGGGCTCTTCCCGGCAGTTCGTGCGTACATTTATCTGCACTCACGGCGAGGGCCAGGGCCTAAATCCAAGCGCTCCTCCCAGGCACCCTCAAGCCGCGCGGGCAGCGCTAACTGCTGGGCTGCGCGAGGCGAGGACGGGCCGCAAGTAGCGCTGCCCGATAGCGGCCGCGAGGGCCCGCGCAGCTCCGCCAGAGGGAGCGGCGAGGCCGGCACAGCGCGCGGCGCTTGCCCGGCCCCGCGAGGGCGGGGAGCCCAAGCCGCGGGCAACAGGTGCCGGCAGCCCCTGGCCCTGCGTGGCGGCGGCAGCGCTGCCCCGCCCGACCCAAGGGGAAGCGGCAGCCCGGATCTGCGCCCGTCCCGCTCCGAGGCCTTCGGCCGCGATGGCACCGCTCAGAGCGGGGCGCGGGGAGCCGAGCCGAGCCGAGCCGTGCCGTACCGCACCGCATACACACCGCACCGCGCTGGCTCCCGCCGCCCGCCCCAATCCTCCGCCCCCGCGCAGCCCCCTCCCCTTCCCCGCCACCCGCTTCCGCCCGCGGCCCCGCGCTCCCGCGCATGCTTGGGTTATGCAACAGCCGCGGCGGGCGGGCTGCGCGGGCCGCGCCGCGCCGGGGCCGCAGGGCAGGGCAGGGCAGCGCGCGGGTCCGTGAGGGCGGCGGCGGCAACCGGGCGGGCACCGGTGTCGGAGGCGCGCCCCTCCCCCCCCCC